AAAAAAAAAAAAAAAAAAAAAAAAAAAAATTAAAAAACTGCATGGTACTGGCACAAAAATAGATATATAGACTAATTAGACTAGAAGAAACAGAAACAAACCCATGCAACTACAGCTATCTAATCCTTGGCCAAGGACCTAAAAATAAAAGTTGAGAAAAGACAGTTTCTTTAACAAAGGATGCTTGGAAAACTGGATATCCATATGTGGAAGATTAAAATTATCTCAAAAACAACAATGACAACAACAACAAAAACACACACTCTCCCCCCCCCATACAAAAATGTATTCAAAGTAGATAGAAAACCTAGGTATAGGCCCAGAAACTTTGAAACTCCTAGAAAAACACTTAAAACCATAGGCAAAGACTTTTTAAATAGAATTCTGATGGTATAAGAAATAATAGTGGGCTGGGGATTTAGCTCAGCGGTTCGATTTCCTGCCTTGCAAGTGCAAGGACCCAAGTTCAATCCGCGGTACCAAAAAAAGAAAAAAAGAAATAATAGTAATCAATAAGTAATGCTACATCAAATTAAAAAAATTTTATACAGCAAAGGAAACAGTTGACAGACTGAAAAAACAGTCTGCAGAATAGGATAAAATCTAGTTCTTCTGAGTAATATCTACATTATACAAAGAACTGAGGAAACATAAAAGAAAATCAAGTCCAGTCAATAAGTGGGAAATGAATAATCACTTCTCAAAAGAAGTATAAATGGTGAATAAGTCTGTGGAAATGTTCAATGTCTTCAGCCATTAGGGAAATGTAAATCAAAAACTACATTGAAATTCCATCCCATCCCAGTCAGAATGACTATCATCAAAAATACAATGCAGTATCTACCTACCTGCCTGCCTACCTATCTGCACACATGCATACGTACGTTTATGTGTATATACATAAATACGTGCTGCCAAGGATGTAGGGAATAGGAGCTGTTCTACACTGCTGGCGGGGATGTCAATTAGTATAGTCACTATGGAAATCAATAGGAAGTTTCCTCAAAAAATAAAATTAGAGCTGCCACTAGTGAAAGTCAGCATACTGTAGGAATAGTTTTGCATATCTAAATTTATTACGGCACAATTCACAATAGCCAGGACATGGAACCAACCCAGATTCTCATCCACAAGTGAGTGGATGAAGAAGATGTGGTATAAATGTGCTATTATAAAATGTTTCTAAACAGAGAAAATTAAGAATTGCTATAAGTATGGTAAGGTGATAGATATATTAGCATCATTGTATTATTCAGGTGTAAAGAATAACAAAATTATTCTATTTACAGGATCATCATTTTAAGTGAAATAAGGCAGACTCAAAAGATTCAATATTGCATGTTTTCCTTAATATGTGCAATCTAAAAGAGATAACATGAAAGTAGAAAAGAGATTAGAAAGTAGGAAGGAATGACAGGGAGAAAGGAAGGGTGTAAGAGAGGATAGTGGGGATGTGGAAGAAAGTTAGCAATTGTATCATTAAGAGATCTTGATGACGTGAATTTGTTGAGGTGTGAAGGTGTCCATTGTACCCTGTTATGTGAAATACAGGTTACGAAACATGTGACATTTTCAACTTTTAATTTTCAAAAATATATTAATGTATACAGCTATCAAGAAGTACATTAGAATGGTGTTCACTTAATCTCTCGGGGCATGGGATGCTGAGCACATTTTTTGCTTAAGACTTCTGCTATTATAAAATGTTGCTAAGCAGAGGAAATTAAGAATTGCTATAGGTATGTGCAGTGGTGTATATATTAATTAGCTTGATGATAGTAATCACTTCACAATATGTATCTTAAAACATGTAGTACACCTTAAATATATGATTTTAGTTGCCAGTATACTCAATAAAAATGAAGAAAAAGGGCACAGAATATACACATTAACATATCGATGCCACTTAATGATAGGGATTTCTAGGCAAGCATCTAGATAATCCAGAACTCTGTGTGTGTGTGTGTGTGTGTGTGTGTGTGTGTGTGTGTGTGCGTGCGCGTGTTTATAAGAGACAGTTTTAGTTTACTTGAAAAAAGAGACTTAGAAGATTTATATAAGAAACAAATAGAAGCTCAAAATTATTCTCATACCCTCAGTTTCTACAAACCTTATTATAAAAATCATTCATCTGTGAAATAAAGACCATGTTGACATCCAAAGCCTTCACTGATTTGGATTATATCTCTCTTCCTTTTAGGTTTTGTTTTTCTTTTCAGAGTGATACTTTCCTAAATGTGTGCCTTTTGTTTTATCCCTGTATAAACCCTTCACGAGTCTACAGCCTTTAATGACCATTAATACTTTTATTTCTGCTTAAAGTTTCTGTCCTTTTCAGTTGTAATTTGATTTTTTTCCTTGCAACAGTTCTCTGATTTTCTTCTGTCTAGTGTTTTTATATTTTGTAATGTTATTTTATAAATTGTTTGATTTTTCATGCTTTCTACATTATGGGGCTTTTTGGCCCTTAAAGGCGAAATTGTACTTTATAAAGCCTTTTTGTTTTGTTTGTTTGTTTTTGTGTTATGCTTAGGACCCTCACTGATAGTCTTGAAGTATTTACCGAGGGAATCAAATGATTAAATGTAATGCATATTATTACAGATTTTCTTTCTATTGCAAAATTTGTTGTCTTTATATGAAATTTCAGCAAGTTACATCGATGTAGAAAGTTTCATTTCTCAGAGTCTACAATGCTTTACAGTTGTGGGTTTTTTTTTTTTTTGCGCCCTTTTGTTCATTTTCAGGACTGTTGGGAAAGATCCTGATGGCTATTCGAGATGCATGTTTTGAAATTTCTGCTATGCAGATGGTAAGTACTTTGCAATAAACCATAATGAATTGATGGTTTTAAAAAATAACTTTAGAATTTTTTTACTGAATATTGTCTCTGCACCTGTAACTCAATGCTTAAAAATAAGAGGCACAGGCCAGGGATTTAGCTTAGTGGTTCTGCCACCTGCCTCACAAGCTCAAGGTCACGACACACACACAAAAATAAAATAAATAAATAAGAGGCACGTTTACTGACCTCAATAACTTTTTATAATTTAAAAAATTTGACACAATTTTACCCATATAATCTTTCACTAACAGAACTAATGTTCAAATAATGTACAAATTCATGCCTATAAGGTAAGTATTCATTTCTTGGAACTTCAGTTGCAAAGTAAAAAATCACCAAAAAATGCATTTAATTCTTTGAATTGAAAAATAGAATCAAAGTGAGGGTTAAGCTGAGTTTTCTGTATTCTAGATTCCTCACTAAGCAGATAGTGAAAGAAAAGGTAAGTTCAGGTTTTTCCTCCCCTGATCTGGTCTTTCTAAAGTCTACATTTCTAGAGTCTCACTCAAGGCCGTTTTTGAGTTAGTTCATTTCATCCCTCTGTGGCCTCTAACATTCCCCGGCAAGACCTTAAATGTTTCTAACACAAAGAAATACTAAATATTTGAGGTGGCGGATATGCTAATTTCCCTGGTTTGATTTACATACACTGTATATATGAATTGGATTGAATTGAAATATTATGCTCTACAACATACTATGTACCATTACTACGTGTCAATTTAAAAATAAAAAAAATTAAAAAGGAAATATCAACTAGTTTGGATATTCATCAAGCAAAAAACTTAGAAACTATTGAGTAAAATAATATTTGAAGTATCTGAACTAGGATTATAGAGAAATTCTTAGCCAAAACTCTCCAAAAGTGATGATATATTAATAGGATTATTGGGCTTAAGCCTATTTAAAAAATGATTTTAGGAAGTTTTTTTTTTTAAACATGGACCTGACTATAGGTCTACAACCAAGCACAGTGATTGACCATAGTAACGACTTAATTGAACCTGTGGTGGAGGCATGGTGATGTAGTGGCTGTGCAGTTACTGACTTTTGGAGTCAGAAAGCTCTACTTCTGAAACCGGGGTCAGGTGCTTTTTAGGTATGTGAACTGGCTAAATGTCAAGCATTCTTATTGTCAAGGTGACAGGAGCAGTTATTTGCCTAAATGGATTATTCTGCAGAGAAAATGAAGTGACTAGACACAGTGCTTTGTAGAATTGGAAACTCTGTAAACTGAAAGCTTGCAGTACTAAGTATTTAATACGTTATAGTTCTGGGCTAAGGATTTAGCCCAGTAGCACTGTGCCTGTCTTGCAAGTGCAAGGTCCTGAGTTTGATCCCCAGTACCTAAAAATAAATAAATAATATCTTCTGTCATTGTTTTGTTGCATTACTAAGAAATTTTATGAGTGTAGAATAAAACACTAGAATCAACAGAATTCCCTGTTTATACTAGTAATGTTGTCTTTGATGAAATCCTTTGAGCTTGAATTATTAATCTGTATTGGCAGAAGTTTCTCAATCTTGGCAACAATAAAAAAGCAAAGTAGGGGGAAAATAAAATTGGAAATGCAGAGGTTATTAAAAAATAAAGTTTTTATTCTTGAGACCCTAGAATATAATGATATAATGAAGTTTTATTCTTAACTAAATTTAAATCCAACCTTGATAAGATTCAGTTATTCTGGACTTACTCTGTAAGCATAATCTATTCATGATTATTTGTGAAGAGTAGTAAGAAGTTGGGAAGACTATTAAGTGGTTTCTTACAGTCTAGACTGGAAATTTTCTGGAATGTTTGGGATGAAAATGGTACTATTTTCCATTTGCTTTATGGTTAATCTAAAGTACTTTTCTTCAGTAATATATTTTCTTGTGATTTTTATCTCTAAGCAGTATTACACAGCATATTATCATTTTTATATCAAGAAAGATGTTTTTCAAAGAAATATAGGGCCATGGATAAGAGCATGATCAGTGGGATCGGACTGCTGGAGAGGAGAATGCTAATTTGGGGAGGTTTCATAGCTCTCTGTGTCTTAGTAACCGCATCAGTAAACATGGGTTATTACTACTACCATCAATGCATGTGAAGAACATGGAATAATGCATGACACATTAAGTATTCAGTAAATGTTATCCATTGTTATTATTAATCAACCAACCTTACACTTTTTCTTCAAAGAGTAAATTATTCAAGATTTGCATTTTAAAGCAAACAACATAGGAACAAGGAATGGTAAATATTGAGTGCTAAGTGTGGGTTATTTATTTTCTTTTCTTGGTTAGTTTGTGGATTTATTTTGTTTTATTTTTAAATATAGTTCAACATGGACCGGGTTAACGTTGAAGAATTCTATGAAGTTTATAAAGGAGTAGTGTCTGAGTATAATGTAAGTATTGAAGTAAATGGAAAGCATTAATGCTGAAAACAATTTGTGAGTCTCAAGTCTTGCGAATCTCAGTATAATCAATAATCATTCAAAGTAACCAGGCATATGGCACACATCTCAAAGGGACTTAAGGCAGGTGGATTGCCACAAATTCAAGTCCAGCCTGTGTTACATAGTGAGTTTAAGGCCAGCCTGAACTAAGTAGCAAGAACCTGTGTCAAAAACCAACAAAAAATTATTTAAAATATTCCTCAATGTATGCTCTGCAAGCCATACCTCGGATAAGTAGCTAATGTCCAAAATGTTACTCAACTCAGTAACTGAATTACAACACTAAACTCAATAACAAGAGAGCAAATAACCTGATTTACAAATGGGGAAAGAATAGGAATGGATATTTCTCAGAAGAAGAGATGTAATTTGCCAACTGATATATGAAAAAATGTTCATCATCTCTAATCATCAGGGAAATGCAAATTAAAAGCCACAATGAGATATCATCTCAGGCCTGTTACAGTGGTTACTGTCAGGAACAACTAACGATATCAAATGTTGGCAAGAATGTGGAGGAAAGAGAACCCTAGAACACTATGGATGGGAATGTACAGCCATTCTAGAAAATAGTACGGAGACTCCTCAAAACACTAAACAGAATTACTGCATGATCCAGCAATTCCACTTCTGGGTATGTACCCAGAAAATTGAAATCAGTATGTCAAAGTGATATTTGTACTCCCTGTTCATTTCAGCAATATGCACAATATCAAAGAAATTAAAACAAATGCCCATCAGTGAATAAATGAATAAAGAAACATAGCATATATGCAAAATATAAAACTGTACAACTTCTGAAAAGAAGGGAATTCCAGGTTAACAGTAACATGTATGAAACTGGAGGATGTTATACGAGGCACAGACGAACAAATACTGTTTGACCTCACCTGTGCACAGTCTATAAAAGTCAAACTCAGAACCAGAAGCTGGTAAGAGAGAGGCATGGGAATTAGGAAGGTGCTGATCAAAAGCACCAAGCTTCAATACTATTTTTTACCTACAAAACCAAAATATGTAGGGGGACTGGAAAAAAAAACAGGTATCATCGACAAGAACAAAACACATGTTGTTGGGATATAGATGATTTTGATCTTTTCTATGAATTTGATAGTTTTCTCAGAGTAACTCCACAGAGGTGCTTAACATCTTCTTTAGTGACATAAATGCAGGTACAATCAGCTGAAAGTGTGGTTGAGACTGAATAATTTAAAGGATGTACTAATTGACCATATTCAAATGAACCAAATCTTGTTCCTTTAATGCATAAGCACATAGGAGATAGTTAATAGAAGTTAATTTTCTTTCCTCTTTATCAAGTTTTCTTAGATACATTCACTAGTACACTGTCCATTATTCATGTTTTCTAGAGAGTTTTGGGGTTTAGTTTTGCATAAAGTTCACGACAGTATTTGTGACGAAGAGATTGGATTCTCCTGTTCTCCTTTCTGTATGCACTTCCTTTCTACCTACATAGAAAAATTAAAATGGCCCATAACCCGCATGAGCCTTTCTCAGCTTGTGAGTCTCAAGTCTTGGGAATCTCAGTATAATCAATAATAAATACAAACTGATTAAAAATACTTTATTTTGTGTCTGGCATAACTGTTGGTGTTCTGTCCTTCTTTTGAAAAACCAAGAGCATTTTCTTTCTTTGATAGCTTATCATCAGCTTCTTTATTTTGGAGTTTTTGATATTCTATTCTTAAGTGGAAGAGATTTTAAAATGAGTTCATATGTTAGCATCATTTATGCAAGCAATGATAACTGTTAACCATTTCTTAAATCTTTTCTTCACGTTTTTCCTTCCTTTATTTGTTCAACTTGGCTTTTAAAATATATGGTTCAAAGGAGCCAATTTTATTCATGTTATATTATAGTGATATATAAAGCATAAGTGACTCATAGAGACCTAGTTGCAATACACAGCATGAAGTGCTGAATTTGGTAACAAACAGTGAATGGTATATTTCCCTTTGGAAAGCAACTTAAAAATGCCGTTAGGATATCCCTCAATTAGATCAAATGACCCTACATGCAACTACTGTAAGTTTACAAAGGATTGTAAAGAAACAAATTTGTTCGTTTTGTTTAGAAAGTTTGTTCCTTAAATAAAAGGCAGGGACTTAATTTTTTACGTCACTTTTTAAAGGATTGTGTTATGCTTTTGATTAGATTCTTTGCTGAACATGTTTTTTCTTTCTGTGTTGTGCGTTTTGAACAACTCTATCTGAATTTTTAATGATACCTGTTATGAGCACTAAAAGTGAATGAAGAGAGATAAACAAGAAGAGGAGGGAAAGAGTAAAAAAAAAAAAAGAAGGAAGCCTAGAAGGCAGGAAGACAGAATTTATTTTTCTCCTTTCGGAACATTTGTTTATGCCTACTCCTCCTATTATGAACTTGGTCTTGACATTTATGTGTGGGCAGTGCTTCAGAATCATGAGGCACAAAAGCAGAGTCAACATAACTGTGTGTAAAAAGTCAATTACATATGACCTTTGTGAAAGAGCAAAGTGACTTTGGGGAATGCACCTAGGGATTCTAATGAGTAGGGTTATGTGTATCATATTAATTATGAAATCCTTTCTCTTTTAAAAAATTTCTGTCCTTTTTATTAACAGATTTGGGGTTAATGTTTAAATATATTTTTAATAATAGTAATTTATTTTACTTTGGTAAAAGTTTGTGTCATAAACCCTCCAAAGTCATCAAAATAGCTTACTTGGCTCTACATTATCTGACCTTATCTCTTACTACCTCCTAGAGTCTCACTGAGCTCCTGATTCTTTGCTGTTCTTTATGTATCGCCACTGTTAATGTGCCTCAAAGTCTTAATGTTTATTTCCACTTCTGCCTAAAGTATAATTTCTTATTCAAGGGAGAGAGGGGGGAGAAAAGATTATTCATAATTTCTCCAGGTACTGTGACAGGCCTTTTTCTTGATCGTGTTATTATACCACTTCCCATATAGGGTTAAAAATCTTAACTAGCATACTTTCACTTTTTTCCTCTTATTGTATGTGTTATTGTACACGTACATTTTATTTCTATATGTGTTAAAAATGTTATAATACAGGGCTGGGGATGCAGTGGTCCTGCCACCTGCCTCTTAAGCTCAAGGGCCCGAATTTGATCCCCAGTACCAAAAAAAAAAAAAAGATACAATGTTTGTATATTTTGCATTAAATAGTTAACTTTTAAAAGTTAAATGTTTATTAAAGTGATAAAAATAAAAAATTTTGTTTTATAATTTCCATGCTGATGTTTTGTGCAGATCTATCTTTTTGCTTGGTATTCTTTTTTCTCTGTTTGAAGAACTTCCTTTAACATCTCTTCTGACTTAAGGTTACTAGTGGTAAATTCTTTCAACTCTTTCTTGTTTGTGTGGAAAAATCTACTTTTCCTTTTTGAAAAATATTTTTGCACTTTGATAAAGAATTCTAGATTGACAGGAATTTTGCTGTTGCTGTCAGTCCTAATCTTTGTGCTGCTGTTACGCCTTTTACTTCCCCAGAGGTTTTTAAGATGTTTTGGTTTTGGCTAATTTGTTTATGATATGTTGTGATGTGTCCGGTATTTTGCTTTAAATTTATTCTTTTAGTTTTGTTGGATTTGTGTTTATGAGTTTCAACAAATTTGGAAAGTGCTTTGCAATTAATTTTTGTTAGTGCACACAAGTTATTCAGAATAATGGGTTACATTTGGCATATTAGTTCATGCTTATAACATACTTTGATAATTTCCACCCATGCACTGTACCCCTTGCCCATCCCTCTCCCTTATTCCCTTCTTTTTTTTTTTTTTTTTTTTTTATATATAGTCTTCTTGTGCTTTCACAGCATCTCTTTTTTGTGTAGATTCTACATATGAGAAAGAATGTGATACTGGTCTTTCTAAGTCTGGCTTATGTCACTTAACATCTTTAGTTCCACCCATTTTCCTGCAGATGACATGATTTCATTCTTCTTTATGAGTTTTATATGTATATATACATCAAATTTTTTTTTTTCCATTCATCAGTTGTCATGCACCTAAACTATTTTCGTAGCTTAGCTATTGTGAATTCTGCCACAATAAGCATGGGTACACTATACCGCTCTAGTGTGATGACTTTAATTCTTTTAGGAGTATACTAAAAGTGAGATAGCTGGATCAAATAGTAGCTTTAAATTTCATTTTTTGAAATTTGATTTCCATTGTGGCTATACTAATTGCATTTCCACTAACAGTGTATAAGAGTTCCTTTTTCCATATCTTGACTAACATTTTTTTGTTGTTGTTGTTTTAGCCTTTTAGATGGAGGTGAGATGGAATCCCAAAGTAGTTTCGGGACATTTATGTCTTTAATTCATTTTGAGTCAATTTTGGGGCAAGATGAGGGATAAGACTCTAGTTTACAGTATGTCCAGCACCATTTGTTAAAGAGGCTGTATTTTTTCCAGTATGTTTTTGGATTCTTTGTCAAGAATCAGATGGCTGTAGATGCATAAGTTTGTTTCTGTATCTTCTATTCCATTGGCCTGTGTCTATTTTTTTGCCAATACTATGCTTTTTGGTACTGTGGCTTCATAGTATAATTTAAAAAAATTTTTTTAATTGAGTTTATTGGTACATTATTAGTTATACAGTACAGTTGCATTCATTATTGGGATCTTGTACCTTTACATGACAAGTCTTCGTTCTCATTTTTTCCCCATGTCCCTGCCCTCCCTTCACCCCCTCCTCCCCTTCCCATTTACAAACACTTTATTTCCATTTTTTCATTTTCTCATATTTTTTTCTTTTCCCTTACTCTAATTTCTAACTCCAGTGTTGCTCTTTGGCACAGGATTGCTTTGGCTATTCTTGGTTTGTGGCATTTCCACATGAATTTTTAGGGCTTTTTTTTTCTATTTTGTGAAGAATGTCTTTGGAATTTTGATGGCAATTACATGAATTTGTAGATGACTTTTGGTAATACGGCCATATTAATTCTGCTGATCCATGAACTTGAGAAGTCTTTTCATCTTTTAGTATCTTCTTTATTTTTCTTTGGTGTTCTGAAATTTTCACTGTAGAAGTCTTTCACCTCCTCAGTTGGGTTGATGCCTGAATATTTTATTTCATTGCAGCTAGTGTGAATGGAATTATTTTCCAGATTTCTTTCTCAATGAGTTCATTACTAGTATATAGAAAGGCCCTTGATTAACTTTGAATCCTACCACTTTGGTGAATTTGTTCATCACAGCTAAACATTTTCTGGTGTAAGTCTCAGGATCTTCTAGGTAAAAGATCGTAGTATCTGCAAATAATATGACTTGTTCTTTTCCTATTTGTATCCTTTTATTTCTTTCTCTTGCCTAATTTTTAGCAATTATTTCTTGAAATATTTTTCTGCACATCAGCATTTCTTCTGTTGTACTCTAATTACATCAAATGGCTTGACATTTTCCTTAGATCTTTTTCTTTTTTCTTCATTCTCTATTATTTCCATGCTTATTTTTGAGCACTTTCTATTGCCTGTCTTCAAATTCATTGCTCTTCTCCAGTGTCTCAGTCTGTCCATCCATCTAGTGTATATGCTAATATATAAAGTGCCTTTGATTGCATCTCTGGAAGTTCCATGTGATTCTTTTAAATACCTTTGATTTTTTTTTACCCCATCATATCTATATTTTATAATGTGTACATGTGGCGCTTATGCATAGTAGCTGCTTAACATTCTTGTGTTAATTGTATCATTCCTATCATTTGCCGGGTCTATATTCATTTATTAAGTTTTCTTCTGATGGTGGTTCATAGTTTTGCCCTTATTTACATGCTTAGTATTTTCATTTTTTTCTTGACTGTTGGATATTGTGGACTTTACTGTGTTATATGGTGGATATTGTTTTTTTTTTCTTTAAAGAGTATTTCATTTTTTCTGGCATTGAGATAAATTATTTGGGATCACTTTGAGCCCTTTGAGGCTAGCTTTTTAGCTTTATAGGATGTGTACAGAGCAGCTCATAAGTTAGGACTAATTTAGACCAACAGTGGCACAGTACCCTTCTGCGGCCTCTAACCCAAGATATCACACGAGGGCTTTCCACTTAGCTGGTAGAAGCACAAGCTGTCCTTGTCCTTGTGATGTCTCTGAGGTGTTGGTCCACTGCTTGCTGGTGATTCTTTCCCCAGCCTCGCACAGTTTCCCATATCTACCACAGACCCTTAGCCAGAGAGGCAGGTGGATTTCTCTGCAAATACTGTCGCTTACTCTCTGTACAGCTCCCCTCCTTTCTCTAGTGCTTGAAAATTCCAGACATGTTGGCCTCCACGCACTTTAGTCTTTATCTCTTCAGTGCAGTGAGAATGTTGGGGTCTGTTGTTTTCTCTGCCTGTCTGATATCTGTCTCTCCTGTCTGGAAATTGCTTGCAGGCAATAAGTTGGAGCAGTTATATGGCTTGCTTCATTTATTTCTCTTGCCCCGAAGGCTGTAGTACTGTGACATTTATCATCCAGTGTCTGAGAACTGTTCTTTTGTGTATTTTGTCTAGTTTCTAGATGTTTAAAGGGAAAGAATAAATTTGATCCCTGTTCTTCCTTTTTTGCTAGAATGCATTATGAATTTTTAAAGCTTCTTTGGGAGAAGCATTTGGTTATTAATAATTTTAGGAATGTTAATTTGACAACAATGTGTTCAAAGAGAGAGACCTTTAAAAGAAGTATAGTAGGAGATAATTTCAATTAATGAAAACATTAGGTGGAAAAGCATGAGATTACAATGATAGGAATAACAATGAAGGAGCATATCTAAAAAATATTTGAAGGAAAAGTGGGCAGAATTTGGGAATGGCTTGGTGTGTAGGATGTGGGTGAAAAAAATCAAAGGTGACTTTAACACTGTGAGATTAATGGAACAATGGCACAATTTATAAAAAGGGGTAAATAGTATTAAATTATGCCGACTAGTTTGTGTTCTTTTATATTATATGCCATAGGAAATGGTGACAGAAATGTATTCTGGCTCGTGTGTAGCAATGGAGATTCAACAGAATAATCCCACCAAGACATTTCGAGAATTCTGTGGACCTGCTGATCCTGTAAGTTATTATTTAAACCATTTTTCTAGTTTGTGTTATCCACCAATTATCTTAACAGGTTTATTTTTTAGTTATTTAAAAGAAATAATATAAAAATGAATATACACAAAAATGTCTACTCAAAACAATATTTTATATAATTTATGTATATTTTTTCAAGACATCATTTTTATTAACCTGGTGACAATACAGAATGGACAGAAGCATTTGCTGTAGGTCTTTTTAAGGTAGTTTCTTCTTGCTAAATTATCTAGGTAGGTCAACCTTACAAGCTTTATGATAGAAGTTATCTAAGATATCAGCCTGTGATAGAGGGAGGACATAAATATAACTATACATATGAAGAGTTTTGATATGATAGCATTATTGCCAGATAAATAGGTAACTATGAGCAGTGTAATTTATCTAGGTAGAAGAGAACACTGCACCTGTGGTCAGTGATCTGAGTGCACATCGAGATCTTTCAGAGCACTTAGACTTTCAGAGGAACTTACAAAGAAGTACCAAAATAATTTTACTGAGGTAACATCCACATGTTGAAGTTAAAGAATTGGTAATATGACCTAGAAACAGTTAAGAAAACTTTTAGAGGAAGAGAGATATAAACATGGATTTGAAAGATAAATCAGTTCGCAGAGAGGATGAGAAAAGCTCTAACAAAGACAACAAAGAATGAATTGCAGTTTTTTATAGCACACAACAAAAATATTTTCCTGGCTTCAGTGGGAAATGTCTACGTAAAAGCACAAAGAAATACATTTTCTTAAGTAGACAAAATTAAGGTAGAGAATGCTTACTATGAGGGTGGAATGGATAGCCTTAGAAGTCAGAATAAAAGGGCTGGGGATTTAGCTCAGCAGTTCGGTGGCCTGCCTTGCAAGCGCAAGGACCCGAGTTCAATCCCTGGTACCAAAAAAAAAAAAAAAAAA